TCTCTCTCCATCCAGTGTAATTTACAAAGAAAAAGTTTTGTACACATCAAACCTGCAAAGTGTCATCATGCTTCAGTGCTCATGACAATTAGTTCAAAAGTTCCCAGGTGTTTGCCTTGTATTATGACCAAGTAACTGGGGTATTTTTTTATAGCTACAAAATCATTTCTAACCATATATATGTTTGCTAGTACAGCATCATTTTAGCTTTGATTTTTCTTTTTATAATCGAAGTTGATTTTTCCAACGTATAAACAGAAAGTATCTAGTTTTCTGTTTTCATGGCACAGTGGAGTCCAGGTCCATCACCCGAGGATTTTAGCCATGAAGATAATACAAATAAATAACTAGAATCTTCTTCATGTCAATTTGAAGCAAAAACACTGCCTTATTATAGCTGTATATGTGGGTAACAATTACACTTTCTTATTTTAATATTTTACTCTGGTTTTATAAGTTTGTTTTTTTATTATAAGGCATTTTAATAAAATAAATGAAAGTTAAAGGTTGTAAAGTAAGTTTGATTGACATTGATATCTTAAGTACTTGAGAAAAAACCAATCCAGTTTTAAACAACAGCATCACTGATGCTTTTTGTCCAAAATTTCACTATGCCCAGTTAAACAGATACAACAGTTCCTTCCATATAATCAATTTAATTCTTTCTGCTAGTATTGGATCTCTGTCACAATACGGCCACCCCTGGGATGGCTGTGATGTCCCTAGGGCACTGTGACCGTGCAAGCTCTGCGCTATGGGCGCCTACTAATCTCACCTGCCACGTTTTGCTGTCATAAATGATGGATTGGGAGGCTGCCCTCGAGTTGCTGCTCAGTCACAGTACTGACAGTTTCCCTGAAACCCTGCAGGTTGCTGGACCCCTTTATTGGGTCCCACACTCGGGAGGTGTCTTATGATACCCACATGCCTTATGGACTAGATACACGGCTCCAAAACCACCCCTTTACCATGCCCCAAGCCTCACAGATGGCATTTACACATGGTCTCTCCGAGGCCCTAGACTAGCTAGGCCTTCGGTCATCGCTGGGTCCTCCACAGCCCTGTGTCTGCAGCCACACTGGCGCTGGGGTCTACTCGCCCCCTTTGTCAGCGTGCCCCCTGGCGCCGGAGTCTGCTCACCCCCTTTGGCAGTGGGATTCCCACACTGTAGTGGGCCCCCAGTGAAGCCTCCTCCTTCCCCAGTAGCCTCAGCCCAATCCACTGGTTTATAAACAGAATTCAAAATACGAGCCCCTGGGCTATAACATAATACAAGCAGTTCAGGGCATGCTCTGTCCCTTTAAAAGAATGAATCCCCCCTGCCCAGCACTAAATGCCTTGTAGGCCCGGGTCCCTGGTGAGCTCCTGGAGCCCCTTAATCCTACCCGAAGTAGAACAGGCAGTCAAGCATCTCCAGTTAGCATCTGCTTTGAGAGCTCCTTCCCCCTTGGGTGCTGACAGAGAACTGACCCTCTAGTCCGAGTCCTGGGGTTTATACATGCCCAGGGCCCTGCCTCTACCAGTCAGCTGACCACCAGCAGGTGCAGGCTAATTCCTTCACTAGCCTGCTGCCAGAGTAAGGTGCACCTGAGGGGTTCCTGCTTGACTGCTAGGGCCCTCTCCCTACGCAGTGTCTGCCCTTAAAGGAGCAGACACCTTAGTGCCCTGTGACAATCTCATTCGTTCTTCTCCCTCTTGGTAATCTGATCCTTAAATTTCATCATCTTTCCAAAAAACTATAACCATTCTTTTCATGTTGATGACTGGACAGAAATTTAAAGCATTTGCATCCTGTCCATGAGCTGCTACCCCTCATTAAGTCTTGTTACTGCTTCCTAAAAAGAAAAAAGAAAAAGGAAACTAAATATTTACTAAGAAACTGCAGAACATTTACAGAAGATCAGCATGTGGGTCCCTCCACACAAATAATTTTCTGATGAATAGGAAATTTCAAACAAGTATAATCTAACAACAGTAAGCTTGCCATGTAGCAAACAAAAGTACTTCTAGAATATATGCAGCATTAGTCCATTGTAAGTTTTATTTCCCTTTTGCAGAAAATGTCTTGCTTACAAGAACTTTTTATAAGTTTTCCAGAACAAAGTAATATATTTGGATCATATAGTTTTTATCATCTATAACTAATCTATAAGGAGAAAAAAATAAAGAGAAAGATAATACAGAAAGAGGCAAAAATTTTATTAGGCTAAGCATTTTGGATGTTCCTGTGGTGAGCCAGTAGGGGGTGCTCCTGAGTTGATCCACCCACCTCACTGCACCCAACCACCTTCAAGGCTCCAAGTACCTCCCTGGGGGCACCTCATGTCTGGCCGACCCCCTTCCTGGAGCACACCTGCAAGCCTGGGGGTAACACCCAAGGTCTGAATTGATCTTGGCCCTGTGCCCCGTGAGGAACACAGGCCAAGTAGCCCTTGAGGGTACTTGACCCACTGCAAGAACTTGGGGTGCTTCCCTCAGTCTGAAGCACAAATAGGGGTCTCCCTTTGTCAGCCAGACCAAGGGGACCCCAAGGCATAATCTAGACCTTCTCCCAATAAGTCTCCCACACTAAGTACAGAGGAGAACTTTGTTGGTTATAAGGAGTAGGTCTGGAATAGGGCACAGGGTACAGCAATATCAGAGGAATACCTGAGAGCAAGAAGTGGCATGGTAGCCTTTGATCATAGTTTCATAGTTGGTAGGGTCAGAAGGGGCCTGAGCAGATCATCTAGTCTGAGCCCCTGCCATGGCAGGAAAAAGTACTGGGGTCAAACAACCCCGGCCAGATGTTCGTCCAGCCTTTTTTTTTTTTTTTTTTTTAAA